AGATGAACATTTTTTTATGCGATTAAATCTTTATTTCAAAGAATACTACTAGCTTCCTCCCTGTTACCACAGGCTTTCTAGTCATCTTATATTATGATCTATCATCTTATGACTGTTATGTAAACTTATTCAATTTTTATAATGTATTATATGGGCAATTCCACGTAGTGTAATTCACACTTTGCACAAAATTTAGCTTTTAATTGCATGCTAATTGTAGGCTAACATTAGCAGCATGATAATATAAAGTCAGAATGAAGTTTAAACGTTTGTGATGATGTGGCAACAAAAGTTTAATGTCTATCTCTTATACTTTTTATGCGAGCAGCATTTTAAAAAGTAGGCGTTATTCACAGGCATAATTTGGTGTTTTAGAAATCTTGCCTTAAAATTGCAATTCGTGCCCCAGTGTAATAGCAGAAGTTACAATAAGGCTTGATCACAATAAAGTACACATTTTTTCAACTTCCTATGTCCTTCCTAACATAAATTTGTGGAATGTGTGTAGTACAGGGACAATATAGGAAGTAAACGTTATTCACATTTGGACGTAGTGTAACTCACACTCTGCCCAGTTGCTCTGTTTGTGCGTTGTATTGATGTTTGCTTGTTCTTGATTTGGTTGCTGCTATTGTAAAATGGTGAAGTAGACTGACTATTACTGATTTTAAATTAAATTGACTACTAATTGGTCCAATTAGATACTGGTAATGGTGTAGATTACACCCCACTGCCATACCACAGTGGTCCGGGCGCCCATGCGAGGTAGACATAAGACATAGGCATGACTAAGGGGTATGATATACCACAGAACATGTATTCTAGAGGTATCTTGCCCCAAAATAACGTTTAAAAAGGTTTTTAGAGTGATTAAATGGATATTTGACCTCAAATATTAATTTTACCTCATTTTTCGTCAAAAATTGCATTTTTTGGCAATTTTTTGCCATTTTTTAGGACAAACTACAAAAATAAGTTGCAAATTAACTTTGGTAAGCATCTATAAGTTGATCTATCTGTAAGTATAGGACATTTAGAGTAATCTTAGAAAAATGTACAGTGTAATATTGTGGCATGATTTTTTTATGAGCTCTCAAAGGTTCATGATTAGACAGAAATTGGGTGAAATTTATAACTTTTTGAATCCATTTTTAGACCATTTTATCACTTATATCAATTCTAAACTACTTCTTTGCGTTTTTAATGTGAAGAGGTCATCAAGAGCTTTAATTTGATACCTCTATACATGGTTTTTGATAAAAATTAGAATTTTTTGGGGCAAAAACACTGCTCTTTTGAGCAAAATTTAGTTACGTGACAAGAAAATAAGGTAATTTTAGCCCCAAATTGCTGATATTTTCTGAAAATAGGCCTTTAAATTACTCAAATAAGTGTTCCCAGACCTAACAATGACTATAAAACACTTTCAAATCAATTTTGATATCCTAATCCATTTAAAAATCATTATTTTTGCGATTTAAGGTCTAAAAGTGGCACATTTTACCCTAGCGGAACCCTAATTTCGATTAAATTACCAACACTTTCAGGCAGTTGTTGAAAATAGGTCCCTGGAATTGCCCTGGAAGTATTGAAAGTACAATTTATTTCACAACAAAGCATTTAAACCACTTGTTTTATTAATTTTCCGCTGTGTAAATTACACTACCAAGCTGTGAATTACGCTACCTGTGAATCACACTACCCCTACTTTTTGCACTTCCAGTGTGACAAAACGAATGAAATTTTCTGACCTTTATAGATGACTAAAGTTGCCGTTAGAGAGAGAGTTACGAATCAAACAGACTTATAGGGGGGGGTATTACTGTCCATTTTGTCCATTTTGTCTTTGTCTTTTTTTACATTTTTTTGTGAAGGACAGTAGTTTGTGGACAAAATGGACAATACTAGGGACAAAAGGGACAAAAGGGACAAAAATTTTGGACAAATGAGACAAAAAATTAGACAAGCTCAAATGTAGAGGTAAAACAAAATTTAGTAAGTAAAACAAAATTTTTATTTACCACAAAACAACCAATACATATTTAATATTATTATACATTCATAAATAAATATAAATCTAAATTCAGCTATATACTCAATACACAGCCCGCCGCGCAGACAGCCACACATTGCTGAGAGATTCTCAGGTGCAGATGTAAGCGCCGCGCGCGCGAGGTTTTTTATCTTACAATAATTACATTTTTATCTTATAATAATTACATTTTTATTTTATAATAATTACAATTTATTAATTATCAGAGAATTTTAGAAGCAAAATAATTATTGCATATTGGGAAAATTTCGGTCGTAAACGCAGTTAACGCGAGTGCAACTTGAGCAAAGCGCGAGCGCATGCGGAAAAGGATCGCGTAGCTAGTCAAGATGTTGGTAAATATTTGGCTTGTGGCGCGATGTGTTGCTCTAACTATAACCCTCTCGCTTGCAGTAGCGCGCGACCGCCAAGCACTTGGTTAGCTAGGTGAACGCGATGTGCCTTGTAGGATGAAATCCTACTAGCTGACGCCACTCGCAGCTGTGCTGCTCGCTGTACGTCAGCGATCGAAATTTATAATATATATATCGTAATAATATATTTATAATATATATATCTGCACCTGAGAATATCTCAGCAATGTGTGGCGGCGGGCTGTGTATTGTGTATATAGCTGAATTTAAATTTAGATTTATTTGTAAATGTATAATAATATTAAATATGTATTGATTGTTTTGTGGTAAATAAAAATTTTGTTTTACTAAAATTTTGTTTTACTAAAATTTTGTTTTACTATACGCATATCACCCATTAAGATGTGCCACCCGACGCGCCACGCAATTTTTATCGTTGCTCGTCGGACGTCGACGAACAACGAAGCTTGTTGCGACGCGCCGCGCAATGAGCTGCCAGGCTAGGACATCGTCCTGGTCCAAAAAATTTTGGCGAGCGATTTTCTCCAAAAATTTAATGTGGGCGCCGACTTCCACTCTGGCTAGGTTTCTTCTTACCCAGCGCGCGTTCCTTAATGGGATGAGGTAAAATTAGGTAAAAATGAAAAAGAATCCACTGACTTCCAATTCCATGTACTCTGGCCTGGCCAGAGTGCTTTCATAAAACTCAATTACTAGCTTGGCGTTGTAGGAGTGAAGCGAGTGATACACATTACTTTGACTAAACTCTTGCTGATCACAATACAATACAGGGAGGTGGGTAACACGGCTCGCAGTTGCAGCTGCGGCTCCTCGCTGGCGGTAATATTTCAATGAACAAGAATTAAGAAAAAGAGAATTTAAGAAAAAGATAATTTTATTTTCCACAGAATAATCAATACATATATTACAAACATGAATTTTCTCCCTCAGTATCTATCTAAAGCTTTTAAAGACATGATTTGAATGCTATCCTACTCAGCACATGAGTGCTACAGGATGGTGAAAGAATTTTTATAAAAAATCATTAATCATCAATGTGGAAGATATGAGGTCATATGATATGTGTGTGCGCGCGCGCGCGCGTTTACAAACTTGATATCTTCAGTCCTTTCACATATACTGTGTTTTTGTTTTAAACTTAATTGAATCTGAACCGAAATTGCCAAAGGAAGCAGATAGTGTAACTCAGAAAGACTACAAATGTATAGTTTGTGAGATATTGAGGTTATACTCCAAAAAATTTGCAATGATGTCACACTTCACCTAACCATGTGCTTTCACGCCACTTCGGGCGCGTTTGTTTCACAAGGGCGCAAGGGCTCTGGATAGAGCAAATGTCACACCAGAAAATCCCTATTTTTGGTATTATATTTAACCTCATATCTCAAACGCGCAGACCGCAGTACTAGATTGAGCTAAACTTGGTCAGGTTTTGTAGCTTTGACTATCCTCGATCATATGGAACAGGAATAAAACTGTTTAGATGTTATATCTTAATTATATTAGGCACTTAGTTCACCTAACCATGTGCTTTCGCGCCATTTCGGGCGCGCTTGTTTACCGCCGTGAGGCGGGCGCGCGCTACTGCAATTGCAAGGGCTCTGGATAGAGCAAGGCACTTAGTTCTGAAAAGTGAGAATGTCATTAATACTGCTTTCACTGCAATGATTGTCAATCAATAAGAGGATCAACATGATACACGTACAGGTTAAAGTGTTACCAACATGATATAAATCATTCAGCAGTTTTGTGTGCGCGTTGAATTATCTCTCTGGCTTTGTAGATTTGTATACTAGTGTATGTACTAAGAGCGCCAACTTGTGGGTGAGATTTTATGTCTCAAAACCCAACATATTATACACCATTGGAAAGGTCTCATTGAGTAGAGTCATATGGTACCAAGTTTTGGGTAAATGGCTGCTCCTAGCGGAAGTTATAACCCGTCAAAGTCCCAAAAATGATCAATTTAGAAAATGGGGCGGGACATCGTGTTCTTAAATTTTTTTACGAAATTTTTTTACAGAATATTGTTAATCACATTTTTTTACACAAGATTTGCTGTATGCCGTAATTTTATTTTCCGATATTTGAATCAAAAATAATTTTTATTTGGATTTCAAAGTACGCGCTACGCCGCGCAGTTAGAAATCGCAATAAAGAGATTTAACCAAATTTTTTGTTGCGCCATTTTTATTCTCATATCAAATATGCGCTGATACTTTTCGGTCGAATTTCTTTTTGTTGCCGCTCATAGCAATTAGCATAGAGCCTCAATGCACACACCGTATATTTAGTTTGATAGTAGTTGTTTTGTTGCACATTGTAATGCAGATGTTACTAAATGATCTTGAGAGGGTATTTAATATAACTGAGTTAGTGTTACTGCGTTTTGGCTGCGATGTGCTGGAGACTACTAGAAACTTGTTTTAGTATAGAATAGCTTAGTGGATCAGGATGTTGCTAAATTAAATTCCTTGTTACACTCGTTTAGTTCTGGACAGGATTTGAACGTTTTACACTTTTATCAGATCATTTCAATCATGCTTCATACCGAAATTACAATTAACCCATTCAAGCCTTGTATAAACAATAACGGACAGTATTCTGTGTTAGAAAAAATATATGTACTTCCAATCGAATCGTGCAATTGCCTTGGTACACAGGTGCACATTCTTTGATGCCCGAAACGCATTCCAAGCTCTAGATATCTGCCTTCAATAATGGCCTATAATCACATTTGCCAAAAAACAGCTGCTTTGTAATGCTGGTGTGTCCCACTTAGTTTGATTATCTTAGTGAAGCTGTAATATCGAACTCGAAGACCTGTTTCGTTATTATTTCTTGAAATGCAGGTATTTGAAGGTTTTGAAGCAATTTTTTTCAATTAATCTATTTTCCTGGTGTAGAAACAGACCTAACTTGATGTATATTGTTTATTCTAATTAAAGTATATTTGAATTTAAAATATGAACTTCAAATATCATTATTTCTAGCTGAACCAGAATTTCCTTTGGGACGAGATGCTTTCCTGACAAACATTATTGTATGCTGATATAATAATTAACAACCGATCCTATGGGCTGAAATATGTAAGTACTTTGTTCAAGCTTGATGTGACCTTTTTTTATCTTAGTATACTTATGACTGCTTTAGCTCAGCCTTTATAATAAAAGATAACCTCTTACCAAGCGATTGTGGAGAGAAATGACAGTCCTATTTACCATTACCATTTTACAACTATTTAACAGTACCACCAACTGACTGTAATTTTCAAGCAAGAATTATTACTGATGAAAACCCATTAAATACCTAAAACTGCGTTGTACAAACACACTTGTTTATTGATAGTTAACATTAAGGATGGTTGATGCCTGTTAAGTTCATTACAGTGGAGTTCCCACCTACGAGTGGTGGCTGAGAGGTGGCGCGCCTGAGAGGTGGCGCACCTGAGAGGTGGCGCGCCTGAGAGGTGGCGCGGTGTATGCAGAGTATGATAATGTCAGCCTTGCCGCGGACGCGATAATTCAAACGTAATGAAAGCTAATGTCAGCTGCGCCGCAAGGCTGACATTATCATACTCTGCATACACCGCGCCACCTCTCAAGCGCGCCACCTCTCAGTTTACCACTCGTAGGTGGGAACTCCACTGTTATGCTCATCTACTTACCAGTTTATTTACAGCCAATTCTTATCATTGTGACTTTAGCAAGTGGATATTTTCAATGCAACATTTAAACATCGTTTTTAGGCAAGATTGGGCAATTTGGTTTTGATCACTGGATTGATCACCAAAAGTTACTTAATTGAATAATAATTTGAAACTAAATCATTCGAAATCACTGATTAAGTGCCATTGATTGAGTGAAGAAATCACAGATTAAGTGCCAGGATCATGTATCCGTGCCAGATCTTAAAATGGTCATAACTCGGCTTAGTTGTAAACAACGAACTTGAAGTTATAGGAAAGCACTTCAATTATCAAACCAAGTCCAAATGTGTCTGGAAATTTTGGAGTTCCTAACTCAAAACGTTCTCAATTTATGGTGACAATAGAGAAAAAGAGGGAGTGTACAACCCTATACAATCTCACTAGTGACAATATACCTTTATTTACTTTTGAAACACTGAGACAGTCTGAGTTCTTTAGCTTTGATCAGTATCTGATGAACGGTGCTAGAGTTTCAAAATGATACTTTGACAGCTCTGGGTTTTTCAGCAGACATATTCCCAATTTGAGCAGCTTCGAAGCGTGGCTTTTCTGCAATTTGTTCAAACACATCACAAATTTGATCGCCAAGTTTCTCTCCTGTATCCTCCTTGAGACTAAAAATGAAGACATTTCTGCAATCTGCTGCGATCTTCTTCAGCTACAACATAATTCCAAACTATTTTCTTCAAGTTTTCTGCCGTGAAAGTGGAGACAGAGCTGGGGGAAGGGTTTCCTCTGCATTTTTTGCTGATTTCTGAGCACTGATGATTTCACTTTTCATTTCCTCTATCTTTTTATTCGTGGAGAATACGCTGATATTAGACAATACCCTAAAACGCATCAAAAAGGTGCTTTACTAGAACGTCCTTGTTTGGTTTCTTGAACTTCTCGAATGTGATATCACTATCTTCATCAAAGTTTATTGTCTTCATTACCTCAACCCAAATACCAAGATCATTAGAAGCATCTGAAAGCTGGTCAAAATGTTTACTTGACTACATTAGAGAGTCTAAGTACACATCTTCCATAACGTACTCACAATTGTATAGCACCGGACACAAAGTAGCAGATAAGTCGTCGAATTATAGCAATAAGAGATGTACATGTAAGAAATGTAGTAAATCAAAGTTTTCACTTTTTAGTCCCCGTCGGATCACATGATTTCTCTCCGCATAGAATTGGTTCCCAATTAGTGGTTTTACAGTACCGTCGAGCTAGAATAAAGACTCCATATGAGTGTGTTACGTATTGTTAAGCTAGGATCTTAGCATTAAGCAATAAGGTGTCAGAGAGCTAAGAGATGACAGGGAGTGATAGACAAGGTTCGACCGGGATCCCGGTTTATAATCCCGGATTTTTTGAAAAACTGAAGTTTAAAGCAAAATTATTTACCAATTAATAAACAAAACACTGTCAGAGTCAAGTGCCAATTTGTTGGGTAAGCTGTGCTTGTGCTTTTTATCAGTTGCGGATACCAGATTTTAATGTAAGTGTTAAGTGCTGGTTTTCTTAGCTATGATCCCGGTCCCAAATCTGGCTGAATCCCGGTCCCGGCGTATACCTGGTTCCGGCACTCCTTTCCAGTCCCGGCCAAAAAAGCAGTCCCGGTCGATCCTTGGTGACAGAAGGGGCGGTAAATAATGTTTTGTTTCTGATGTTGGTCAAAGAGCGTACTGTATAGCATTGAACCTACACAGTTTTAGTACCCATCACTTGAGTACTTGTGAACCATAGTCCATGACCACTAATTGGGAACCAATTCTGTGCGGAGAGAAACCATGTGATCCGACGGCCAAGGGGACCAAAAAGTGAAAACTCTGATTTACCGCACTATTTATCTTTCCCCAAACTGTACTGTAAGTCGGGGTTTTACTGTATATATTATCACGAAGATCAGCCCAGGCTAGTAATTGCCATCCTGATATTTAAAGTAAATACCATTTTATTTAGAAAATAAGTGCTTACTTTCTATCACCATCTTATCAGTAATACTAGGCAAAATAGTGATACGTATACATATAATATAGTGCAGAGTGCTACATAGAGATCAATTGTTTCATCTTAAGTTTGTTACGCAGCTTACGCTCATACCTGGTAGTGGTAGTGGTACCAGTAGTAGTGATAGATTGCCCGACCCTAATCGTGGGTTTTAATCACGTGCTTCATGCTTGTTATAGGTGGTTTTCAGCTGTTATGTTCTAAAAATTATAGCGCTCATTGTAAGACGTAGGTTCAATGTTGGTATGGTTTTAATTAAATTAGTTACCCAGAATTTTATTAAGATATTGTAACGTAATAGCTTTTTGAGTTCCGTTATTTTGTTTAAGTGTAATTGTTATTCAAAACATATAATTTCAGGTGTTAAAAGCTTGGAGCAAGACACATTACGATCGATGGCGTTCGCTGACTGATGCATTGCTATTTACTGCTGACTAGCTTATCCTTTTGTTGCCTCTATTCTGTGATGAACACCAATTAGAATCAATCGATTTAATTCACAGGATATTACGATTGTTTACAAGGGCCCTAGCACCTGTAGTTTAAGTTATTCGATTCGATTTTTATTAAATAACGCCATTTTTCTTTTTCTGATCTATTATTAGAGCTGTCAATGTCTTCATCTTATATTTACTGCTGCGATGTTTTACTTTATTTTATATATCAGTTGAGACTAATTAATGAATTTGAGGAATTTACAAGTTTTAAATTTTTGATAATATTTGATATTTCGCCATATTTATAAATGTGTTATCAGTAGTCAATAACTACACGATATGTAATGTATTTGATTTCTGTTTGTGTGTACAACCACTCCCGTGCATAGTAAAGCAGGCGGAGACTTGCACGTGCACGTGTTAAGAATTTGGAGCTAAATTTCGATCATTTACTGTTGAGTTTAGAGTGTTCTACGAAATAATAGCATGTATCTTCGGTTGTGATTTAAATTTTATGATACGATAAAAATTGATTTCTAGCTTCCTCCCTGTGACAACGGATTTTCTAGTATGTCTTTAGAGTAAAATAAAGGTCGAGACATATTTATATGGTACGAAATTCGGGGATTTTTGGAAAAAATGGGAAAAAATCCCCATATTTTCGTACTGAATTTCTGAAATTTCGTACTGAATTACTGAATTTCTGAAAAAAATCCCCATATTTTCGTTCCCCCATAATTTCGATCCCCGCTAATTATGATCCACATAAATATGTCTTGTAAGGTATGCACCACATACGATGGAATCAAACATTATACTTCGATCAATTATGCGCAATATCACGAACATCTTCTAGACCGGCAACAGAAATCAAACTAAAATGATGCTAAATTCATCTTGTATTGTACTGATTACAAGTACGATTCACTCGATGTCAGAACAAATTCGGGAACTAAGACTTGTGAAATGGTAGATACCTATAATCTATATTTTAATACTCACTATTAGGGATATAACGGACAGCATTACAGCAATAGTCTTTAATGCTTTAAATGTTCAATAAACTCCTCGCATGTTTGGGTGTACTTCAGCATACTAGTTGCATACCATAAAGATTTAAGATATAACCTGATCTCGTTCTATTAACAAACGGTTCTAGATACAGTTGGGAGCAAGCAGGCCATAAATGGGGGCACCAGGCCACCATTTCATTAATTTATGTATTGGTTAATTAAGTAATTAGTGACGTGGCTAATTACTAGCTGAACTCTCTACAATTAATTCCAATTATAGTTGTTAATAACTAGTTTCAGAATAAGTTAGATTCACATTCGACACAAAAACCGAGAATGCACTCTGGCATTGTTCGTGCGCTGCTCGGGAGAGCACGTTTCCTTGATTTGTGTAGGGGATTTCACACTTGTATGAGTTCCCTGGTATTTGGAACATTTTCAGGTGGTTTAATGGTTATTTGAAAAATGAAGATGATTTTACCAACTTAGTGAACTTAGCAAGAGATAGAGTAGGATGGAGGAGTTTATTTACTTTGAGACATATTGAACGAATGAGTCTTCGTAAGCGTAAATAGGCCAGCACTTTGCTGAGCCTCTTTAGGTGCTCTTTTGTTTATAGATGTTATTATATATTAATGGTTAGTACTTGTCCCTAACAATTAGAAAAACCGAGTTTCGACATCTTGACCCACTCAGGCCACTCCCAGGGGCCACGCCCACCCCAAAATTACTGAAATCCAGGTCAAATCAAGAATGAGAATCTTTACCCTTGTATGGATTTATGTTCCGGGGTATTTGGAACATGTTTAGGATGTTTAATAGTTATTACCTGTCCCAAACCATCAGAAAGACCGAGTTTCGACATCTTGACTCACTCAGGCCACTCCCAGGGGCCTCGCCCACCCCGAAATTACTGAAATCCAGGTCAAATCAAGAATGAGAATCTTTACCCCTGTAGGAGATTTATGTTCCGGGGTATTTGGAACATGATTTGGTGGTTAGATAGGAAGTACCTGACCCCAACAACCAAAGAAACTAATTTTCGACGTCTTGACCCACTCAGGCCACTCCCAGGGACAATTCGAAACTATTTTTAGGGGATTTGAAATCCGTGTAAAATCCCCTACAAAATCCCCAACAAAATTCAGGGAAACGTCTTCTGCTACGTTACTCGGAATTGTAACGCGCAATTTAACAATTTGTAGACAAAGAAGCGCGCCGCGAACCACGCGGAATATCAATTGTCTCTTCAAGTATTTCAAACTCTGTTGACAAAATAAATTGATTGTGACTCTAATAATGGATTAAAAATTACGGCATACAGCAAATCTTGTGTAAAAAACTGTGATAAACAATATGCTGTTAAAAAAATTTGTCAAAAAGTTTAAGAACACGATGTCCCGCCCAATTTTCTGAAGTGACAATTTTGGGACTTTGACGGGCTATAACTTTCGCTAGGAGCAGCCATTTCCCCAAAACTTGGTACCATATGACTCTACTCAATGAGACCTTTCCAATGGTGTATAATATGTTGGGTTTTGAGACATAAAATATCACCCACAAGTTGGCGCTCTTAGTACATACACTATACATTGTTTGTACATTTTCTGTACAACGTGTACGATGCCTTTGCCGCTACAGAATGAACACTTGGATATGATAGATGATGCTATGGTTATGAATGGCCAGTTCCTTACGGAGTATGTGAATCAGATACACATGGCAACTAACAGTATTTTCAAGGAGATTAGAAGTAAAATCGGTGCCGAACACAACGATGATGTGCAATTTGACAAACTGAACCAGAGAAGTGTGCCTAGAGAGAGGTTATCAGAATGGCTAGAGACAGTGTGCTGTTTGCTGAACGATTACTGTGGTCCATTGTTACAATCTGCCACAGAAACAGCTACCGACAACAGGGTGTTCAGGAAAGAAAAAATAGAAGATGCGACTAAGATCATAGAACTGCAAGAGAAGTTACTCTTTAAGCAAGAAGAAGATATGACAAAAATCAGTGATCTGCAGGAGAAGTTAGCTTTGAAGAAGGATGACGAGATTGGAACTGTGAAAAGTGCAGCTCAGAAAGAGATTAAGACCTTTTCGTCTCTGTTGAAAAACACGTGCAAAAACGCCTTTGCACCGAAGAAAATCCAAGCTGCAGTGAAAAGGGTTGCCCTAGAAGAAGATCGAAGTAAAAGTCTGATTATCTTTGGGATTCCAGAGACTGAGGAGAACCTGGATGCTAAGGTATCTGGTATTTTGTTGGACCATCTCAACGAAAAACCAAAAATTTTGAGATGTAATAGAGTTGGAAAGGACACAAGTGAACGAGTCAGACCAGTTAAATTCACTTTGTCAAGCTCAGATCAAGCTCGTACCATCTTGAGCAAGACTAAGTTATTAAGACATGTAGACGGGTTTACTTCTGTTTACATAACTCCTGATAGATCAGCTGCAGACAGAATAGCCTACAAGAAAGTTGTCGTCCAGCTACTCAATAAAAGGACAGCAGAGCCGGACAAAGTTCACGTAATCAGGAACTTTAGAGTCATTAGCTCGGAGAAGGAGCCTTGAGAGTTTTATATTTTCTATAAGTACAATATTATATGTTTTGATTCATTGATTAATTAATTGTTGCTAGGGCCCAATGTTATTGCGGGTGTGGTATTTACTGCACACTACCGTGTTTTGGTTACCCCTCTTTCAATACATAATTTGGGTTTCGATATTCTGGGATAGTGAGAATTAGGGCTATATCGGATTTTTCCTTTTATAACTGGGTTTATTTAGAAGCATTCAATTCTGTATAATTATGTATTGTTTGAAAAGTTTTAGATAAAAAAAAATTTTATGAGCAAGAAGATTGCAAAATTAAAACAGCGCGAAATCAAGCCTGTTAGAAAATAAATCACCCTATTATATGAAAAGAAGATCTACGAAGAAAAATAGAAGATGTTTAAATCAATTGACCAACTGAGTAGCAACAGCACAAAACTTATGATTGAAAGACTGAAAGACACAGCTGAAAAAGTTACCTGGGGACTCCAGGCTATTATGTTCATTAACATAGCCTGGCGTAATCGAACCCTCTAAAACGCGGAAATAGGCGCGTTTATGCAATTTTACAATCAAATAACCAGATTTTACGATCTAACTCAGCGCGCGGCTCTTTTAGCGCATACGTCACTTCTTTCTTATTGGTAGTTGGCGTGCACGTGATCTTTTGCGCGGCTGTAATTGGTTCTGAACGATCACGTGAATGCGAGTCACGTGCGCTGTAACATCCAATGAGCATTCGCACTTTTTTTCAGGGCGATGGAGGTCGTAATTCACTCAGCCCGAATAAAGATTCGGCGGAATGACAGGCTGAGCGTTGACGGATGTTACTCGTCTAAATTTCTTCGAAGTAGCGCGCGCCGGGCCAGATCATTAACAATGGTCAAGCTGAGCGCAGCCCAGTAACTGAAAAAGAAGCTAAATGTAAACAAATGTGGAACAAGAAGGAACGCTTCCTCAGACACAGGAAGCATAAAGAATCGACACCCTGTACCCTATCGGAAATCAGCGACTTCTCTTTACTGTCCATTTTGTCCCTGTGTATTTGTTTCGTTTGTCTCTGTCCTTTTTGTCCATTTTGTCCATTTTGTCCCCGCCTTTTTTGTCTTTTTTGTCCCTATTATCTTTTTTGTCCCTTTTGTCCCTCTTGTCCATTTTGTCCCTTTTGTCTTTGTCTTTTTTCAGTTTTTTTTTGTGCAGGGATAAAATGGACAGTGGCACCCCCCCCTTATAGTGTAGCCACAGTAAAACATTTTTCACTATTTGGTAGCGTTATTCACACGCGAAGAGGAAAAATTTGATCATAAGACACTCAAAAAGTAAAGAAATTTGGCCCTCAAAATTAGGCTGGCCTTCTATCTGAAGCCCACTAGGTTGATATACAGGATAAAATATTGAATTCTCCGATTAATAAAGCTCCCTAAAATCTTTCGGAAAATAACTGGATATTCACACTAAAGATACACTAAATTTAAGCCAACTTTGACGCGCTACAGTTTTTAAACTAGGCTAGATATCAACAAACGGTTTTTTGCCCCTGAAAATATGGTCAAATATCTTAAAGATTTTCTATCTCTCCCAAACCACCTCCAAACTTTATTATTTTGTTACTGGTTACCGTTATCGTGGAATTGCCCATATATAATACAGGGGGGCCATAAGTCAGTGTGCAACCGTTGGGTCTTATACCTCCGCCGGGTTTTTATATTTGAGAGTTGTTGCTTTGCAGATGGCATACTGTACCTACTTGTTCGAGGATTCTGTCGCCAAAATTTGAAAATTCGAATATTTTAGACCACGCCCATTCAATATTAAAACACCTATATTGTTCTCTCTGAACATCAGAGACGTTAGATTATTAAATGCTGCATCTGATCTGAAAAATGAGGCAAAACGGATTAGAAATTATGACGAAGTTATCAAGCATTTTGTGTAGTATCTCGTTACCAAAATTG